TGCTCCTCGTTCATTCGTTGGTTTTCATATTCAAGAAATTATTTAAACAATGGAATAAAAATTTGACTTTTTGCAAAGCCCTGCTCTAGTTGGAATCCAAGAAATAGGAAGAAAACTGTAGAATGTTGTAAAATTTTAAGATGTAATAAATGTAATATTCTTGTGGTTGTTTGATGATGAAGAAATTCAATGTTTTTTGGCTGGTTGGAACTGACATGACCTTATAAGAACAGTTCATACCATTTGTCCTTCAGGTTTCTTAGAATCCAATGTGATTGTTCAAGAAAATTTGATGGATGTTTATAAATCAAACGACAAGATGGAGATTTTATACAATTTAATTCATCTTTCTTGTAATGTGGATTATTCTATTGTGTGAAAGAGATGAAGAGTTTGACGTGTGGTTAATTAGTTGATGATTGTGGGGGTGTGTGAGATGTGAGGTCTGGGGTGTACGAGATGTGAGGATAGTATTGGAAAATATGTGGCATGTGTTAAAAAAATTTAATTTAAAAAGTAAATATAGAGTGTATTAAGTATGTGAGGTATAGTCAACAAATTGTGAGGTGTTAATAAAACAAGCCTAACTTTTCAAAAGTGTATTTATTTTTTTATATAGAAAGTTTAGAGTGCAAAATGAGATTTTTAGAGTGTCAATAACAATTTCCTTAATTGAATAGAAATTCTCTTTGTAATTATAGCATGTATTATAAAAATGTGATTTTCAATTGTAATTAGTGTAGAATTTCTACCTCAATAGGAATTAATATATCGTATATATATTGTAATATTGTTCACACATCAATACAAAGAGTAATTATTCTACATGGTATCACTCGTCTAAGTTTTCTTAAGTCCTAGGTTTCTGCTCTCCCCTTCTTCCCTGGACGTCCCACCATTATTCCTCATGGCATCACCTTCTTCCTCTTTATCCGATCAAAACGCTGCAACCTTCCTTAAACTTTCTATCACCAAGTATATTGTTTGGGTTAGTCAACTTATCTCATTGGTCAAGATCTCTGGAAATATGTCTATGGTTCTTCTCCCTCTCCCCTCCTTTCCCTAAACGGCCCCATGTCTGCTTCAAGGCCCACGCCCTTCATTCAGCATCTGCGCCTGCCTCTGCTGCTTCATATGCGCCACAATCTGGACCTGTGCCCGTGCCTATTGGACCTTGTGCATATGCGCCACTATTGGATCCGTGTCCACCACACCTCCAACCAGCTCAATCTCCAGGTCCGTGCCTCCATATGAGCCTGCTATCGATGATCCTCCTCCACTGCTTCCTCGGCTGTCACGTCTACTCATTCAATGGTCACTTGCCGTACTAGATGAGCTATAGCAAGTTTTCTCCTCTTAGATTTAATTTTTACAGGATGTCTGCCATCCAAATAGATTTGTTGACAGTTTTAGCTTTCTCTCTGACTTCCTTTTTAGCCTATGTATCATGGGTGGCATGAATTCAACATTTTACAAACTATGCCTACTTATCACAAAAATGTTCTTTCGTTATGCTTATATTTCTTCGACCCTTCAGACATAGTAGTTTCTTAGGTTTTAAACCTTGCAATATATTTAGACATGTTAAAGTCGCCATCTTGTCCATGGCTGGTCAAGTTTTAGAAGCATAACATCCTTCCATTATGTCGTCATGAATCCAGGTTAGGTGATTCATTTATGTATTCTTTCTAAATTGCTTGATACGATACTATTTACAATAATATAAGCTAACTTGGATAGTTATTGAATATTTGTTTCTGGTTTCCTTCTCGATGCTGAAGATCTTCATTCACAAAAGAAGTGAGCTATGGAAGAGTTCATGATGGATTGCTGCGAAGGATTAGACATATACATATATTTATATTTTTTTTGGGCATTCCATATCTAAAGTTACCTGATGCACAGGCCATAAGAACCTGTGTTTTATTATTTTGTTTTTACTTTTTTTTGCAATTGCTAGCACGACAACAGAGCTTGCAGGACATGTATTTTGTCATGTTGCATGCACAAACAAAATTTATGTGAACTGCGTGCTACTTTTATTTCTGATGCAAAGAAACTATATTTTATCATTGCAACTTTTGTTAATAGAAACTTTCGAATTCACCATTTTGATTGTATATTGGCTCTTGATGTCAACTTAATAGAATGTAAATGCAAACTGAACTACTTATTTTACTGTTTCGATTCACCTATCTCTTGGTTTTTCAATTATTTGGAGATGACCGTGTTAATTTGTGGTTTTGTGGTAATTACTCAAGTAAAAATGTGCGTCGTCTAGATTGCTGCATTTGAAAATGCGAGTATGTTGTTGCTGCCATTTGAGTGATTTTTTTAGGATATTATTCATTGCTATTGTTATTATAGTTTGAAAACGCCCAGCAGAGAGCGCTGACAGTTTTTCTAGTAAGTACTTAAGTTGTAATTAGGGAAGGGGTGGGGTGATTGCCTCATGATTGTTGCATTGTAAAATTCACATTCAGTCTCTAGTTAAAATAACACAATCCTTCGAAAACCCTGAGATCCCGTGATATAAGCTGATAATATATATCTTCTTCAAAATGGATGTGAAGTCGATCTGTCTTTTATTTAAGTTTACTGAGCAAAGGGGACTAGCCATAAAAGCTCGAAGGTGAGCTCGGTACTCGTAGTCATGATCATCACAATCATCATATGAAGCATAAGGCTTAACTACTTTTCCATAACATTAATTTATTTAATTAATTAGTACTCAGCTACCAAAGTAGCAGTTAATCCATATGATTCTCCATTAACTCTACGGCAGCTCAATCTAATCTCCCCCTCGGTTCCGGTCAACGGGCTTATATTACCCATTTTTAATCATGGATTCCCCGAAATTCTCAAAGAATGCGCTCTGATTAGCGCTGAAGTTGTTAACAATGTCGATGGTATCAGCCCCGCTAGTTGAAAACAGCTCTTGATCGCTTTGGAGCAAGCCTTCCTCGACTTGAAGATTCGAGAAATACTTTGCATCGAAAGTGTCAGGAGTTACAGGATCCAAATTGGTCAGTACACTGCCATTCCCATTCAGTGGGCATATCTCACTCAATGTTTCTAAGTAGGTTGAGTTCAAGGTCGGATCAGGACTGCCTGTGCCGCTGAAGTTATACAATCGATCGGTGAAAGTTAGACATCTAGCACGCCCAAATGTGTGAGCACCTGTTAATTTTGCATGCCAAATTTTGTTACTATAAAGAGAGGGAACATAGTTAGATATATTTTTTTTTGCAGCCGTACGATTTGCTTGCTTACCAGATAGTGCAACCAGATCCGTGGTGTTGAGGCCTACAGCTAAGAAGTTGGCCTCGAGTTCGTCAAGTGTAAAAGTAGGAGCTGGAAGGGCTTCGTTGGCAGCCGTGCGATTAGCTGTTAAGCTATCCCTTCTTCCTAATAGCACTGTCCATGAAGGACCTCCAGACTGCAACCATAGATTAGTTACTCAAATTCCAAATCTCATGAAACAAAATGCTTTAAATTGTTGTTGGAGCTTGAAATGTATACCAAAGCAACAGATTCTTCGGCAGCAATGGCGAGAATATCAGCACAGGAAACGACGGCGGGACAAGCATTCTCCAATGCAGTCTTGATATTGTCCACAACATCAAATCCTCTGGCCGAGTTGTTATTTGGCACTGCTGTTTTTTCGCTGTCAATGGTACTGTTAGGATTGGTACTGTTGTCCAGCAGAATTGATCCATCGCAACCCTGAAATATAATCAACAAGTGTTTTTCAACTAAAAATTGCATGTTTTTGAATTTTGCTTACGTCTTCTGAAGTTCTATTAACAGAGAAGCAGCTGATAATAAAAGCACTTTTGTGCTCAGGCATTGTTCCGAAGTCCAGTAACTTAGAAGCTGCTAATATATACAAAGTAATCTTGGTTGGTATGTTTTCAAAGTTGAATAAGTTGTTCAGCTTAAATCTTTGAAGAACTAATTAAACTTCGCATCTGATACCACGGAGATATTTTCAGGGAAACTAATATTAATTCCATTTGGATAAAAAGAAAAGAAAACATGGACAGATCTTTTGGTACTCCAACCAAAGTTCTAAAAGACGTTAGGCGATAGTCGAGCGGCGGGCTAGAGCCTAACAGTTAGGCGGGGCCCTACGAGAACTAGACCAATTTAAGCAATTTATTGTATATTGTATAAATAAGTGTCTATTTATACTTCAAAAGACACATAATTGTATTGGATATGTAAATTGCTAGATAAAATAACATACAAATTATAAAGTATTAGGACATATTGTAAATATTGGAAACAAACATATAATAAGTGTTTATCCAAGTATTCAATGAGTCTCTTACATTTTATTGACAAAAATAAAATGCAAAATGAAAGTTATCAATTTTATGTCTAGGTGGAGTCGCAACCTAGGCGATGCATAGGCAGGTTTAGGAGGGCTAAGTGGGCGCCTAGGCGGACACCTAAGCGGGTTTAGGCACACTTTCTTAATTTTAAAACGCCTAGGGACTAATTGGGACGGTAACCAGTTGCCTAGTGTATAAGCAGGAATTTTCAGAATAGTGGCTCCAACTACAAGTTCTACTTATTTTAATTAAAAGGGTTCTTCACAAATAAGCTCCCTCAAAAACTATGTTAGGTCAAAGGCACTTAAATCTCCTTGCACTATACACTAAATAAGCATAACACCATAAATCGAGCTGGTGCACTACTACTGAGGCCATACTTAAAAACCAAAATCCCGGACTGGAAATTTCCAAAAAAAAAAAAAAAAAAAAAAATCCCGGACTGAAATTCGTGATAAGAACACCGGCCAAAGAAATATTTTTTTTACAAACAAAGGGTATCAAAAGCAAAGAAATGAATCATACGTTGACGAAGCAATCGTGAAAGTGAAGCCGAGTGAGGCTGGCAGTAATCCGGGGATCGGTCTGCAGAGCCTCTTCAATGACTCCACGCACAATGGTGGTGGCATTCGGGCATGATTCATCATAAAACGTAGGAGTCAACTGAGCATCACCACATCCTGCACTTGCACACAAGATTAGTAACACTGCCAAAACATATTTGTAATACAATTGAGCACTATAAGGAGGCATTTTTCTCAGGTGGTGTTCGATTTTTCTAACATATGTTGATCAATGCATATGTGAGCCAAACGGTATAGGTCTATTTATTGAGTGACAGAGTGAACTGGTAGATGAGAAACCCGCGTTAGGTAGATGTCAAATTAGGTTTATTTTTTTGGTAAAAAGTTCAAATTAACTTAAATAAATAAAAATCGAAGCCCTTTTCTCCCTTTTCTCCCTTTTTCTTCTTTACGTGAAGTGAACCATGATGATATACTGGAATCCAGAATGTGGGTCCCTGGATGCAATATAATCTGTCATATGGAGTATCTGTGGAGTATGATTTTCTCTCCTCTTATTCTCATCTTATTCCTTCTCCTTCTCTCACATATTGTTTTTTGTCTTATTGTCTTTATAAAAAAATCAATATAAAATGTTGACGTGATTAAACCGTAACCATTCAAATAAAAGAAAAGGAAAAGGGAGAGAGATTAGGAGGGAGGGAATCCTCCTCCTAAATGTTACTACCCTTCCCGCGAAAAAAGGTGAGGTTTCAATCCAAAAGTTAGTTAATAATTAGAAGTGTCCCGAACTTGAAGTGTGTTTAGATAATAAGTTTTTTAATTCGATCAATATGGTATCTTGATTAAAATTCAAAGTCCAAATTAGAAAACAATGTATAATAATCACCGCAAGAAAACGAGACAATAATTGTAAATTCTCTTTTCTTATAAAAAATAGGAAAAAGAGAGAAGAATAACATTAGTTGAATGGGCGGATGAATAAACTAATGAGTTGAATAAAAGAAGAGATAGTGCTATTCACACTTTTGTTTTTATTTTTCACACATTCTTCGTAATTTTCGGTTGTCAGATCAAATAAATTGAAGAATATCACTAATAAAAAACTAACACGGGTGTGCAAATGTAAAAATAAGTGTGTGAATAGTACTTTCATAAAAGAAGTATCAGATATATCATGGCTTTGTTAATTACACAAAGACATACCTAATTATAACATCTCTAGAAATTTAGGACTTGTTTGGAATTTTTTTTAAAAATGACTGAAAATAGTTTTAGAAAAAAATATTTTTGAGTTTCAAAACAACTTGAAGTGTTGCTTCTTGGGTTTATTTATAGAAATTATACCTATACCAAAATTGGGTTGAAAAACGTTATTCACCAAAAGTGTTTTGACAAAAATACCCTTTGTTTTTCTTTCCATTCCTGCTTTGTTTTATAATGTGGAACATGTTGTAAAATCGACAGTGGGTGCAGTGGAATAAATGAAACAAGACACAAAATTTACGAGATTCCTCTACAGTCAGTGTGACTGGAGTACGTCCTCGGGACAGCAGTGGTGCTTTCATTATAATTTAGAATAATAGGAGTACAAAGATAACTCTCTCTATTATCTCCTCTCCTCTTCCTCTCCTTTCTCTCTTCCTCTCATTTTCTCTCATCCTTTCTTTCTTCCTATCTCTCCGTGAGTCTTCCCACTTTGATGTTGTGTGAGGTTTGTATTTATATAGAAAATAGGAGTAGTGTGTAGCAAGCTTCAGCAACCAAAATGAAGGGCCAATTATTTAATTTTTTAAATGGACATCCACTGTTCTACAACACTCCCCATTGGATGGCCATAAGTCTTCGATTGACTCGTTAAAATCTGGATCTGTTTTGAATGCTTCCCCTGATGAGTATCTCCCCTGATTTCAAATCATTTAGGCTGATCGTTGATCATTCTGCTTCAGTCTCTTAGCAAAAAGAGTTTCCAAAAGAAGTGCTTTACTTGTTGTTAACTTTCCACAGGCTTGTTCTTGAACTGGGCTGAAGGGCCTTCTGTTAGACTTCCTCCAAATGTTTGAATTTACTTTTTTTATTTGGAGCTAAATTTAATTCAAATGTGGTGGACACTTGATCTTGAATCGGACTTGTGATTTCTTCAAGGACTTCGAAACTTGATCTTGAATGAAGTTATACCGTGAGAAGCTTCATGTGGCAAATGATCTTCGGCTTTGTCGGGGATGAATTAGCACGTGTTTGTTGCGCTTGTCTCCACATACTTCAATGTATCATTTTCACTTGCCTTACTTGTTCCCCTTGCTTAAGTAGTATTTTCCCTGGTTTTCCCCTATGCATGTGTGGCATATTCTCCTGTAGTATTTGCCTTTTGATGCAGGAGTGGAATGCAACCCTTGCATTTGGATGGTTCATCACTTCTTGGTGACTGGAGACCCAGCTCCAACAACAGTTGAAGATGGCTACTCGAGAGCAATACTAGGTAAGCAATTAGGAAATGTTTCAGGCAGTCGGTTCCTTACCGGGAGTTGGAGTGGAGGTTCCGACATATTTATTTCTTTATCCTTGTCTTTGCAGGTAAGAACAAGGACAAAGGAAAGGACAAAGATATTGCATGATATGAGACACTCTTACTCTCGTCCATGAAGATATGAGATACTCTTGTTTCGGTGTGACTTGTTTAAAGAGGTATTCTCGGAGAGGAAGAAAACTGAGTATTTCGAGATGCTTTATTGAAGATGCATTCTCGGAGATGAGAGAAAGTTAGGAGTTTTGGATGTGTGCCTTGCCATGGACGATGAAGGTCGACTTATATAGGGATTTCCCCAATAGCAGGTAGTGGTGTTGTGCCTTTACTCTTGTCAGCAACTGTGGTGTAATTAGAACAGTAAGATTTACGCGTTTTCAACTTTGTCAGAGATCTTTGACAAAGTTGCACGCGATAGCAGAAAAAGCTGAGATTGTGTCTGAAAAATACCAACGAACTTTATTCAGGAAAATCTGGCTTTTGAAATTCGGATAGCAGTGCCTCTTCGATCTCTGAACAAGTAGTTCTGTTGCCTCTTCTTTTATCGAGATATCAATTATGTTCAAGAGTATGCTCAGAAAGTTGCTGCCTGTAGAAATTTTCCCCTTCTTGCACTTCTGAGATTTTATTTAACCTCTTTTGTTTTTCATCATTTCTGAAAATGGCTTACCCATCTAACATTTGCTTAGATTTGAGTCTTAGGAGTGATACAGACGAGCAGCGTCAGGATAACATATGGCGCCCGTCCTTCTTATCTTCTAATGGTCCTCTTACAATTGTAGACTCTGTGATGAAGAATAACATAACCGCTACTGTGGTAGCTAGGAATTTTCTCACTCCAAGGGATAATAGAATCATTTCAAAACGATCTGATGAGTCGGCCATTCAAGACTCTTTAGCTCTCAGTGTTCAGTGTGCTGGCTCTGTTTCTAATATGGGTCAACGCTTACTTGCTCAAACTCGCGAAGTTGAATCATTGATGGCTGAGGTGGCAAGTCTTAAATAAGAGATTAGAGGGCTCAAGCACGAAAATAGAGTGTTACACGTGCTTGCAAATAATTACTCTACGAGCATGAAAAGAAAGCTCAACCAGCTGCAGGAATCAAAAAGTCGAACTCAAAACAGTCACCAAAAGTTCGTTGCTAGATTTCGAAAGTAACTGATGTCTTCCCCTTTTGGTGTTTTGCCGAGTACTAGGGTGTCATATGATCAATCTCCAGTGCCTCCTCATTATGGGGTACTTCCGAGTACTGAGGCTTCACATGAGCAACCTTTGTGAAGGCTTCATCCTGTTTATTTGTTTTGACTCATGTGTATGCACATATCTGTAATTTCTCGGAGATATTAATAGATAAGCTTTATTTCATTCAGTGTATTGTGCCAAATACAATAAAGCATATACTTCACTAAGATGTGGTACTTTTGGACCAAACATTAATTTATCTTTACCCTCACGAAGATAAATGATCTTTCTTAGTGTTTACATCATTTGAGTATTCAACTCATAATCTTTAATCCATATGGTTCTTTTAATATCATAGACATCATGGATAAGATTCGTGTTGGTATATTGTTTGATCTGCAGCTCGAGACAATATTTCTCTCAACACTTTATAATCTTTCTTGACTCTTTAGGAGTCTCAATTTAATATCATCAACTCTTCAGGAGTTCTAATTTAATGTCATTGACTCTTGCAAGAGATTTTAGTATGTTGCAACAATATCATAATGATAGTACTCACTAAGGCAATTTATACCATCCATTGGTATTGAGTACATAATTTAGGCTTTACCCTTCGGGGGCTTACTTCAAGCAATTTGAATCATTCAGGGATTTTCTACACTTTATGACACATTTTCCTTTGGAATTTATACAGTGCAATTTGCTCCCATGTATACTTGAGGGATTTACTTATGGAGATATGATGTGGGTGACTCACAACCCTTCGTATATAATTCTCCATTCATATGAACTCGTTTACAAGAGTATAATTAGTAACCTTGTGTCATATCATGTAAGTGTATTTCATTGTATTACAAATGCTTATATGTAACCTTATTGGTTCAACATATTTTGGCTATTCAAATATATATAGGTCCATTTTTCCACATTCTTACAAAATTGTAATGGAATCGCCTTTCTCCATTTTTGGCCAATAATTTTGTTGACGAAAAAGAATGAGACTCAATATCAACACAGCTCATTGATGAATTTAGTAGCTACTTATAAAAACCAAAATTACCATTGGTTATCATCAATCCGTGATCCCATATTCTCATGTGCATGCGCATGCATAAAAACTTTTCATTTATTTGGATATCCATTGCCTCTCCAAGGGCATTACACTATCTATTTCAGGATAGTCATAATTTAGAGAATGCGGATCATAACCTCTTCTTGAGCGTTATAGAGCTTGAATTTTAATTTCCACTTCTAGGAGTTGAGTCATTGGAACCTATGCATCTATCATGCTTCATGCATGAGACATTAATATTCCCATGTCCGTGGATTGTCCTTTTTGGGACGTATATCCATACGGCGACTGTCATGCTTCTGGCATGCAACAATTATGCTTCGGGAATGCAATAGTTCAATAGTGCCATATTCTTCTTCTTTCGAATGACTGAACGTTTTGAGTCTAAGGGTCTGCCATGCTTCAGGCGTGCAACAGATAAATCATTTATCGCCTCATTATATTGTCTAACAGGGACATTAATTCTTGTAGGCACATTTGCAGCAAGTATATATGATTTTTTTATCACTTTCG